AGTACTAATGTAAATAACTGTCAATTATTATTGTATAAAACAAATTTTAACGTATGCACATTGTAATAACAGATTAAACATTCAAAAATGATCTATATCTATAGTGGAAAGCAATATTTGTTGAAAAAAAAACGATGACTTAATCAAATCACTGCAATCGTTTTGTCTATAAACGCTTTTTTTCTAATAAATAACTGGAAATAAGGAAACACTGTTGGGGACGTTAAATCCCCAGAACTCACTCGATAAAGGTCATAATTTTGGATTTTATGCTTTCAAGCTTGGGTTGATCGGTTGACCTTGAGATTACATTTCCCACCCGGAAAATCCTTGACTGTCATTGGTCGATGGATTATTTTAGTACGCTATTTTTGTGGCTCTCCCAAGGACTTTTCTATCATGTATAAATAAACTCAGTTTGTGTGCTTATCGACCTCGTATTTACTGGGTGATTGTAGAATACACTTTCCCCCTAACCCCGGGACAAACGAATTAGAATAACCTTATAGTGTCACTGTATCATTTGTCTTCGCTCCGTTCACACAGTAAGGTGAACTCGTAATAGTCCAAGCATATCAACTGACGAGCATATCAAACATTTTAACATCATTAACCAATACTAAAAAAAACCATGTGATTACATAACAGAAAGACAAAGAAAGTTGCTCGAACTTCACCAAAACTGTAGTGAAATGACCTATAGACACTGGGTATTATTTGCATGCCTCAAAGTTCTCAGAAAGTTGGAGATTTATTCTACAATATAAATGGATAAATTGTCATAATTATCGTATAAAGTTTTTTTTTACCAAATGGTCAGTATAAATGAAATTTACTAATAATCAGGTGTATTTTATTAAGAGGAATGTGCATATATATATATATATATATATATATATATATATATATATATGTAATTGTCGGTGATATTTCTTCCAGTTAAATCAATTCTTTCTCCGTTCCTTCATTGAACAGCTATCAGGAACGGCGAAAATACGGTTCAGCATTACATAATAAACAATAGAGAGATTTGAACAGATTTAAGTGCGAATACCTTGCTACTTTCGCGATCAACTATGTTTATTTTGTGCGTTAAAACGATACATTTGTATTCATTATACTTTATTCGAAAGGCATTAATCAAACATTTTTTTTGTTTTCTATGAATTTATTTTATTTCAACTTGGAAATGACATTTTTTTTATCAGTATTTTAGTTTGAAAAAGCAAAAAAAAATTTCTGTCATTTCAAATCTGTAGTTTTACATGCTTATTTGAAACTATCAACTATGGTTTACAAGAATAAAGTCAACATGGCTATGTTATATAACCAGTTTAAATTTCACAATGTTTGCTGTTAGTTGATAAAGTACCTTTTAGGTTATTATCTGTGCATATCAACTTCTGACAATAAATTAAACCATAATCGATGTGAAATCCAGTGTTTACGTGGGAAATAAGTGATTTAAACAATAACTTAAGATGTATTTCCCGAAAATTGGTAATCGTACTTCTGTATTCAATAAATTTTCAACAAAAATCTTAATACTGAAGAGATTATTTGTTCCATAAGAACTTTTAAATGATAAAATAAGCATTTACTCTCCTGATTTGTATTGGATCAAATGTATCCAGTACTGTGTAGTACTCACCAATTTTAAAATAGCTGTACAGTCTATTACAAATTTCAGTGACTCTTCAGTTGAACTTGGTCAATGATGAAAACTAGTTTCAGCTTGCACAGCTGTTCACGATTCAATATTATATGGATGTTCCTTTCAATCAAAGCCTATCATGAAGTCAGTTGAAAAAATATTGACCAATGTGAAAGGTGCCAAAACAACAGCATCAATATTACAACAAGCCAAATTATATTTTTAATGATATTGACCAATTTTGGTGGTAATTTGCTCACCATAAAAACAGCCATATACAAATGAAGAAGGATATTGAACAATGAAATGGTTAATGTCTTGTGACGAATCTATATCTGCTTACACGTTTATGAGTTTATTTGTACATAGTGTTTACGTAGGCGTTTAATGTATGTTGGATGACCCATAAATGTTTCTGTATGTTATTTACTTTTCAAGTAATATTTATGTATACAATATTGGGTAAACTGAAACATGTGTTGAAAATATGTTGATTGACGGAATGTTTCACACTTGATTTAGTTTTAATTTACATGAAAGATATAAGCATAGTGTCACTGATAAGAATCTTATTCTCAAATTCATTATTCAAACGCATAGTAGAAAATATCTGAGGATTCCCTATAATCAATGATAAATGATATAGTTTCAAACAATCTATTATGATTGAATATGAGTCTCATTGTTTAGACACTTTATGCATCCTCTTTCATACATTTACACTGGATACGAACTGTATTATTCATCAAAGCATAGCTTATTAGGAAAGATATCTATTAAGAGTGACTATCTACTTTGTGATAAATTTATTTTTAACTCTTCAAGGCAATTTAAATCAAATAACTATACTATAAGTATGATTTAGAAAATCATTTAATTTATCCTGTTTCGACTTACAGTTATTTTCAGGACTGACTACCGTAAACTGGTAATAATACTTTTCTATTTTATCATATTTATTCATGGTTTATTTGTCCTCAAAAAATCATTTAATATGAATCATTTACATCATATATATTAACCTTTCTGTTTCATTTAAAGTTTTGTGTATTTTACTATTACATTTTTGAAGGTAAGGATATAATAATGTTCAGGGGTTTGTGAAGACTGTTGAATTTCGTAGTAAAAATAACCGACTGATTTTAGCTAAATAATAAATGAAATTCAAGGCGCAATAGTTGGGTATTTCTGTCCTGTATGGGACTGCTCATCGGTGTTCATCTACCGAAGATCGAATTCACGACCTTTAGAAGGTCTTGTATAGTAACAATCAATTATTCACTAGTCAATAACTTCGGAAGGTGACTTGGGGAGTTCTATTGAGAGATCGTCCGCTGTGAATCTCATCTGTTTTGAACTCTAGTTAGGAATCTGCTAGGTACGACTGAGTGATATGGTAAACTGACTAGTTTTGAACACACAATTAGATTACAGTTGGTTGGTCTAAAGGTAAAGATAACGAAGCGAGATCATAAGATTAATGGACCAATTCTTAATGAGGTTGTGAATACCAAATACTGAGGAGACCTGTAGTAGAAAGAAACAGCTGTCTAGCGATTCCAGGTTTTCATTGATTGTTCGACTAAGATAAGCTCGTGAATTTAACTTCAAAAGTAATCGGATTATTGACAGAAACGCAATTTCCAGCTTATAAGTTGATGTATTTGTACCTGATGCTATTTAAAATAATTGTGTTAAACAACAGTTTTGTTATTTTTCAAGCTTTCTGTTCATAAAAATGCAAATAATTTTGCTATAAGACTGCATGCAATAGCTGTTGTCCCTTTATCCAAAGCAACAGAAAGAGTAAAGATATGGATTCGTTGTTGTCAGTAATCGAAAAATCAACCCTAATCCTGGGTATCTCAAACTATTTTATTCGTTTCTACATATCATACCAACCAAGAAATACTATTCACGAGTATAGTAAAGAAGGTTGTATACTAAAGTGGAGAAGTTAATTTGAAATCTCTCTCTGATATAATCAAACAAGACTGATACCAAATGTACATTGGTATGCCCAGTAATCAATCAGTAATTATGTTTTACTCATAACATCATTCTTGACCTGAAATAGCTCAGTAGTAATTTATCTGACTGTAGCACTGAATGGAACAAGTTTAGATCCTTCGAACATTATCAGTGCCATCACGATTATGGGTATGTCGACTGGATGCATACTAGTTGAAACGAAACATAGGTCAACGGCTTTTATGTAGTTCCTTTAACCAACGACGAACATTAAGGTTTGTTGCATCCGAATAATTCCTATAAATGCTTCTCATAATTGACAAAAATAATAATAGTCTGGAGGCGAGAGCATGTTTCGTTTGATAATGACAATAAGTGGTCGCATGAAAGAAGTATGGATAAACATTTCACATGAATGATAAGTTTCCAAAAGTCACATCACTGTTCAAATGTTCAACTATGAGTGGTTTTAATTAATTGAAACTAGGAAAGTAAGCATCAAGTTTTAAATACCAAAGAAAATATTTATTTTGGAGCATTATTTGAAAATTCATACAAACAACTACTTGGGTCTTAACCTATAGACGGTGGACTACTAGTCTGGATGATTTAAAATTTTAAATAAACACTGAATTATGTTTCATCTACTGTGTTTAGTTATAGAAGAAACATTATCAGAATTTGTCACAAAAAAAACTGAACTACTGTAGTCTACTTCAGTGACAAATAAATTCCAAATTCAGACTGAAAGATATTTTTAGAATAGTGCTTTTTTTGTGGTAAACCTTGTCTTTTTTTGTTTATATATATATATATATATATATATCTTTTCAATAGATATCCACCGGGAAATTTAAACAAACCAATAACATTTGATCACATGACTGAAAGCAGTCATTACAATTTCAACCAATCTTAAAGAAAATCGTCTGTATTGTATTTGCTTTTTCAAGATACACGCATGAAATCACAAAAATTCTGATCCATGTAGGCGTTAATGGATTTATATATATATATATCTATATAAATATGTATATATATATATATATATATAGTTACACATGTAAAAAGTATGTGTCTACACATATTCAGTAGATTTGCAATCAAGGAAAATTTAGGAATTTGTTCAAACTAACTGGTGCTTATATTTCTATAAAAAGAAAATGGAATAAAAATTCATTGAACATTTATTTCTTTCAATTAATTGATTTCAATGAATTGTTATTGATAATCACTGTATAATAATAATAATAATAATGATAATATGACTATTGCTATTGATATCAAGAGAAATTTACACAATTTGTTCGATCAGAAAGAAAGCCTGAAAACATTATTACTTTAACTGTTGTATATTTTTTTTTAATCTGTAACAATGTCATTAAATTTTAACAAATTAATTTTACAAGATATAATGTCGCGTAGAGAATCCTTACATGCACTTGACTTGAATGAAGAGAATGTTATCATCAAAGAAGAATCCGAATATTCAGCTGAAGAAGATGATGACGATGATGCGGATGATGAATCTAACAGTCAACTTGGTGATCGTCATGATGATGATGATGATGGTGAGAGTGATTCCAAACTTTCAAATTATACCGATGAAGAAACAAATATCAATAATACTGAAACACAGTCAGGAAAATGTTCACAAAAATTTAGACTTATTTCAGCTTTAAATAATCTACGATTAGCTGTAGATAAACAAGCAAAATTACAATCATTATTGAGTGATTATAAACAAAAAGATACAATTCAAGATTCAAGAGTATTATCATCGAAATTGTCAACAGTAAAAGAATACAATAATAATCAAACAACTAATGATCTGAACGATCAAACTAATAATTTGTTGGCAATCACAACACCACATCATAAAATGGATGTTGAAAAAAAAGCAGGTGAAATTGAAAGTGAACAGAAAGATGAGACTAGTTGTCTTACAATGAGTAAATCAATTCAGTCGAAAGTGACACGTAGATCATTGAAAAAACAACATCAACATAATGTACCGGATGTATCCATGTCTTCAGCGGATAAAGATGCTTTGGCATTTAGAAGAAATGAACGTTTATCCAAAAGAAAAGAGAAGGTAAGTTTCACAGTATATAAGAAATACTTTTATTTTTTCAAGTAGTTTCTATAAAACTGAATAAAGAAAGATGATTGCCTTGTCTTTCATTCTCAACTTCTAATTATTACTGATATGTGATGTAGAAATATGATACAATTGCCGCAGGACTGAAATCCTCAGTTTCCTATCGATTCGCACCGGTTACATAAATTTCCTTTTTTGAGTTACGCACTTATTCAATAGAGAATTAAATCTTATCGCATAATCGACCTTTTAGCCTTGACATCAGTATGGATCTATTTTTTTGTGTGTGTGTCATGTTGTTTATCCTATAAAGGTCATCAATAGATTAATTAAAAAGTAGAAAGTGGATCGAATGCTTTTCATTATCCAATCGTATTGAAACATTTACAATCTAAGCTAAAATATCAATAATAAATATTTGTTTCCGTTATCGATCGATTTCTTGTTTCCTTTGGTATTATACATATGAATAGAAATGTAATTTTCTACAAGATTAAACAGTTGTGAAATGTTTGATGGATTTTGTGTTCTTCAAACAACACATTTCCTGTCCATCAATGTAAGAGATACTAATTCATAGAATGGTTGACAACTTAACATGAAATAACTTACTATTTGATTTATTTCTTGACCTCTTTTTAAGGTAGTATAGTTTACGTAATCGATGTTAAATTTGTTATGTTGAACTGACAATCAAAATAAAGTGTTTATAGTTACTTGCTAGTTAATTTATTGCTCATCATGAAGTAAATTAAGGTTATTTGCTGTGACAAATGCTATCTTACTTAAAAGTATACTATTTTTATACGAACTAAGAATTTACAGAGTGAAATGAATTCATTCTACTTTTAACTTCATATGAGCTGTATACATTCTAAAGTTACAAAAGTGTATTAACGATTAGACGTAAAGGTTCGTCAATCCAGTGAAATAAAGTTGAAATGGATTCAGAAATCATATTACACATAGTAAGATTCAAGTTGAAATGATCGAATATTTGTATGTTAAAAAAAGCAGGAAAATAACTGACCCCATAATATAGCAATAGTTCCTAACTTACTTACTTACGCCTGTTACCTCCAATGGAGCATAGGCCGCAGACCAGTATTCTCCAACCAACTATGTCCTGGGCTTCCGTTTCCAGTTCTGTCCAATTTTTGTTCATTCTTCTCATATCTTTCTCTATTTCTCGGTGTAACGTGTTTCTCAGCCTAATAGTTCCCTAACACTTATGGTAAAATATTACAAGGGATAATATAATTTTTCATTTCACAATGAACAATCTCATTCAATCGCCCTATACTGAAAATAACGTAACTACATAATAAGTCAGTATACTTATGTCAATATCAAATCATTTGGTGAACATCTCTAAGATTATGTGCAAAATAAAACTATTTGATCAAACTTCTTATGCCTGTGTCGTAGAGAGATCTACATCACTTTCCTTCTGTACACATAGATTAGGTTTGAAACGTTTGATCACAGTAGTCTCTACAATTCGGTGATAAATTTGTGTACTTTGTTAGTTAATTACGCCAAATGATCTGAATGTTTCTACTTGGTGTTTACTTTTCGTTAGCAGCATAGCAAATGCACATGTAACAATGTATATTGACGCTTATTACTCTTATCATGAATTTCGAATCGTCTGCAAGCACCAGTATCAACCATGCTGACTAAATCATTTGAACATTTGATTCTAATTAGATGAATCATCATAACTTTAGGTTGTGTTGCAACTGATATAAAATTTCAAAATAGAATGAATTCATTTTACTCTGTGTAAACCTAAAGCAAAGTTCATTGATTCCACGATTTTATTATAAAATAGGCTTGTTTTTTTAATGATTCATCTTTAAATTAAAAATGACAAACAATACTACTAGTTAGTGGTAAGACTTTCCAAAACCCAATAACCATCAAGTGTTAAATTTAAAAAATCTAAAAGTAATTTAAACGTACTTCCTTATAAATACTCTATACTAAATACTTGAAGATATAAACAACATTCTAACGATGTAAGTAATTGGATAAAAATATTTCGTCAGTAATATAATTTTAACACACGTTGCTTGAAAAAATAATACAATATTCAGTTTGTTTGAAAAGAAAATAATGTTCACCCAACCTTTATTGTTGTTCACTTTTCTGTCATTAAAATTTACTACGAAGGAAAAAAAGCTTATAGGTGTTTTTCTATTGTGTACCTGATATCTATTCAACAAAATCGATAGAATTTGATCATTGATAAACATCAGAAAACATGGAATATGTCACTGCTGAGCCAACGATAAGTATTAACATCATAGTTTCCGATCGCTTGCTACCCTTAAAAGTTTAATGATATTCTTCTTATCTATGACACTAAGTTAGCTGAGTGCCATTGTCTTATAGGAAGCAGCATATTTTCAGATGTGCCTTGGCTGTCGGTGGTAAACATAGGTACATATCTTTACTGAAAATTATGAACCGGTCAATGTTTGACTAACATTACAAGCCTAGAAGCATCGGACAACCGTTTCGTCCTAGAATGGGGCTCATCAACAATCTCCACAAGTGTGTGAAGCCGTGACCAGTAGAGCTCAACCCTGTTGGGGGTGAGGCAGTTACCAATCGTAGACGAGGGATGAGGTGGCGCACCGTCGTAAATTGATTGAAGTTGAACATTGACATCGTTGGATGCCGGCTCAGTAGTCTAGAGTTTAAGCGTTTTTGAGTGAGACCGACTGTTTTTAGTTCAATTCCCACGTGCGGGGGTCGGGGATGCATACTACCAATCGATCCCATGCTAGGAAGAAATGGCTTTCCAGTACTTCCAGGTTTCTAATGGTAATCTAACACATCAATTCATAACTTCAAGGAAATATCGTTGTGTCAGTCAACAAAATGATAATATCACCACTTAGTATCTACAGAAACCTGCCGCTACCGTCTGCACAATAACAATGATCTAACACAAAATGTATTTTGACTTCTCCTATAGTCATCGCCATTTTCTATTTTGAATATAATATCATAGTATATATCATAGCATCCAAGTTTTGTGCTTAATAAATCTTAGTTTTGACCAATGGAAGCTTTCATGTTTATAATTTATAGTATTATGGATCATGAAGTGAAAGAAAAAGATGTCAAGAAAAGATCTTTTTTCTGTTGTTTTTTTTTCACTGTTAACAAAATGACACTCGACCAACTAACAGACAGAGAATACAACGAATGCTTTATTAGGTCGCATAAATAATTTTGTTGAAAATGTGTTAACAAAATACAATGTGACATTTAACGTTTTGTAAGAGCGAAATTCTATTTGACCACGACTTACAACATTATAAAAACTACTCACAAAAAAGCTACTTACTATCAAACTATCTGTATTAAATCAAGTTTTGTATTTAGACATTTAAACTGTTTAAAAACAAACCATCTTTTGTATTGGACATTTCAAATTCATAGGTTATTTTAAGAGAGGATTAAAAGTTGTTAACAAACAAAACAAAATATTCAATGAAAAGCATGTTTTGTAATTCTGTTTATTTTGGTTTGGTTAAAAAAGAAGCAGAGATCGATCAACAGTCAAATAGATTAAAAATAGAATGAGATTAATGAGATTATCGTTAACATGTAGCCAATAAATTTAGAAAGTGTTGAAACGCATTCGTTTGCACACTATGTCATTCTCTATTTTGTCCAGTACTATAAAAATTTCTCAATAAAGATAATCAAATTATCTACTGGTCAGTAAATTTATTGCTCCGAATTTAGTAAATTAATGAATGTATTAATTATTATGTAGATAATCAGTTCAATTCAAAATAACAACATTGCAACATATATTCGATATGATTGTTAGTGTTTCTGCGTTAAATACAATTTGAATTATCTACTGAAATGCTGGAGTAATAGCTTATGGTGTCGTTGAGCCCTCGTAGTAAGATGGTTTAACTGAGAGGGTTTCATGGCCATTCTGGGCAAAATCGTCAGTTTGTAGGCAACTATAAATATAAGTTTGACTGAGGAAAAAATAGAGGTTCTGTGTCGATTGAGTTCTTAGGAAACCAAGGAGTTTATGCAATTATAGTATTCTAATCAATCACTATTCATTAGACAGATCGAATCAAACACTCTGACTACAACCAATCACAGACCGGGTCACCAGTGATATAAATTAAAGAGATAATTAAGAAGCACATCGTATATATGAAGTAATCACTAACTGTGTTGTCCCAAACGATAATGAAAGCCCCAAAATTTAACCATCTAGTTCAGAGTACTCAATAATTTTAAAAGTATCAACATGTTTTGGGTGTGGGGCTTTGATTGTTCATCTGAAAAATAAGTGGCGAAATTCTGCTATCTGAAGTTTATTGCTGATAATGTTGTTCAGAAGAACACTGAAAGTTCCACAACCAAAACATCCATTTGAGAAAACGAAACTCCACCACAATAAGTTTTTGCATTTATGAACTATTTTAGATCATTTCATCAAAAGAAATCAATTGACACAATGCTATACAGTGTATATCGGTATACAAAATTTGTATAGGAGCATCAGTTTTCTTTAATTTTTTAAAGTCGTAATGATAGTAAGATTCGGTTTCAATAGCAATAAAAAGTAGACCTTAAGAATAGCGGCGTTTTTTTATCTACTCATTATTTTCAAGTGTTACCATTTCAGCCTTAGATTTATTGATCGACTTCGATTTACGATTGAACTTATTTGACAGAGTTTGAATCAAATAAGCTGCAATTGAAGTATATCACACAAATGTAATATACGATAACGTCAACGATTGGCTGAAAATTATAAGTGACATATTTTCAAATAGTTCCATGAAATTTAGTTGTAAACATGTCCAACTTGACACGACCTTAGTAAACAAAGCAGAATGTTATACATTAACATCTGTAGACATTATTATTAAGGGTTGAAATTTAAATTTTTGTTTGAATATGTTCAGTTTAAATCATTATATTTCGTAAAAAGAGATTAG